ATAGCACTATATTTTTATATATATTTTTAATATTAATATATATATATATTTATATATTAGTGCCTGTGATTAGTATTATTACCAGTTCAGTGCCTTCCTATATATCATATCCTATTATATTATTTTTTCGCTGCGACATCTTCATTGTTTTCGTCTTCGTTGTCTTCTCCGTACGGTAATCTTTTTCATTTTCGTTACTACCGTCATATTCGTTATTGTCCTTTCATTTTTTTCCTGCGAGTGTTTTTTACTTTCCTTCGTCCTCCACCAATCAAGTCCGGTATTCTCGATCGAGTTTCTTGCATCTAATGTCGCGGCAAGTTCGCTTGTCGCTCCAGGAAATTAGCAAACAATCAAAAGCTAATATAATAACACATGTATTACTATTAATTAGCTCTTGATGTAATGACTAATGTATCTAATGTGCGGCTGTGTGTTCAAGTATATATTAAACTATAGTTCTAGAGCTAATTAATAAATTATACTACAGCTTCATCGTGTATCACAGCAGCTAGGATGTAGCCGGACGAGGCTGTGCGACTGATTGTCTATACAATTACAGGTCTTCTAACCCTAGTAAGACCGTTTCTTGAAGCTAAGCAGGACGTAGCTCTAGAACAATATTATTATTAATAATATAATATACTTAATACAATAATATTAAACACACAGGCACTGTGGCAGAGCGAATGGCTATAGTTCTAGAGCTAAGCAGGACGCGGATGTGTTTTATTTCCTCTTTGTTGATGGACCGAATCTAAATGAGATTGAAATATGAACATCTCGCCCATCGACATCACAGGCACTTGGAACGTCTCAATAAATAAAGAGGCAAATCAACACGAAATGTATTTACTACCAAAGGCTTAATGTTTCTCTACTCTATGACGTTACCTATTATTACCGGCGATAACTTCCTGTAAATGCCGTTCAAATGGGCCCTAGTCTAGAAGACCTGTCCCACAATACTTCATGTCTACAATACAATACACAATGGGTCATGTCTTCTAGACTAGCACCTTCAAAGGCTCCTCTGCAACACACAAGTACACCGCACGCACGCCACTGTGCACAAACAACAAGCGGCGTGCGTGCTTTGTGTACTTGTGTGTTGCAGAGGAGCATTTTAACGGCATTTACAGGAAGTTATCGGCAATAATAGGCGAAATAGAGTCGAGAAACATTAAGACTTTGGTAGTAAATACATTTCGTGTTTATTTACCATTATTTGTTTTATTGAGACGTTCCAAGTGCCTGTGATCGACATTGCTGAAGGTGCGCCGAGTGTGCGAATATATCACACGTTTGTTATGAATCTTATTGCGCTCTGGCTGTCCGTCCACACACACATGCAGGATACTTCCCACGACACGATACCCGAAACTCTAACTTTAGAACCATAACCCTTCGCCCTGCCACATGCCTGTGGCAGAGCGAAGGGCTATATAGTTCTAGAGCTATCCAAACTTTATCTCGCTTCGAAGTAAGCGTCGGCACTCGCATGTATGTAATCACCACACGGAATGGAATGCGGCTCGCATAAAATATATTCACGGCAAAACGAATGGTCTATAACGTGCGATGTCTCGGCAACGATAGAGACTTTACTGTGTCGAACACGGTCATACACGTTGTACGCAGTTTCATAGAGGGGTTCACCTATACGTGAAGCATAACCCTAGCACCTTATACGAGGAAGCTATTCAATAATATCCTGTAATCCAAGCGCTCGTGCGCCGAGCGTTAGTGTTTGGGAGGTGACGGCCGCCCTCGCTCTCTGAAACCGTACAACTAACGTAACTCACATCACACGCGCCGTTTTTATACCACCGACAACACTTCACTTTGCAGAGTTTCACCTATTTCAAATTGGCATAATTAAATTATATAATTACGAGTTATTAGTGCGCAACGACGTGTGTAATTCAATTTGTGGCACCCGGCAGCAGCAGCAGCAGCAGCAATGAGTAGCGCATCCTTTCCTGGGTCATCAGCGAGAGAGGCTGCGGAATCCATCACAAGCGCGTTGTTGCGCTAGAGGATCGCCTGCATGGTGGATGGGGAACGCGTGAATAAGAAAACCAAATGTTTACGTTTGTGTTGTTTTCGTTACTATAGATGTAGCGAATGACAGCGATTTACAGGCGCTCATAATGGCGGCCTTGTTAAAACTCTCTTGGCTGCTTGCAAACGTGACTGTCACTCGGGTGTGCTGTTGTCATTGCCGCTCTTGGCCGCACGCGCGCACAGGCACTTGAAACGTTTCAATAAAAAAAATATGGTAAATAAAAACGAAATGCATTTACTACCAGTCTTAATGTTTCTCTACTCTCTTTCGCCTATTATTGCCGATAATTTCCTGTAAATGCCGTTCAAATGCTCATCTGCAACAGACGAGTACACAAAGCACGCACGCCGCTGTGCACAAACAACAAGAATAAAGAGTTCTGTTTTATCTTGTTCTCTTCTTTTGTTATCTTGTTCATCTTTTTATCTTGATTTTTCTCTTTATTCTTGTTGTCTGTGCACAGCGGCGTGCGTGCGGTGTACTTCTGTGTTGCAGATGAGCAATTGCACGGCATTTACAAGAAGTTATCGGCAATAATAGGCGAAAGAGAGTAGAGAAACATTAATAATTTAGTAGTAAATACATTTCGTGTTTATTTACCATATTTTTTATGGAAACGTCCAAGTGCCTGTGCACGCGCGCTAGGTGTGGCGGCATCTTATGTTGATGCACGGGCCGAGGAATGGATTTATGGAAAGACTGGCGTAAAATAGCCAATTACTGAGAGCAGAGGGGTGTTGCTACCACGGGATCGCGGTTTGTTTTTACGCGTGGGAAGTTACGCGTGTTAAACTCAGAGAGCTTAGCGAGGGATTGATTCAAAATAAACACCGGGTACCAAACATTTAAAGATAAATAAATAAAAATTCAAAGCAAACGTCGTTAATCAGGAAAAAAGAGCATCGAAAGCAGACCGTGACGGGTGAAGAGTAGTGACGAGCCATACTTTGCCAAGGAATCGCGCTTACAACGGTTAGGGTGTTAACAGACTCAATAGAATGTAAGAAAATTATGTAATAAAATTACATAATACTACATTGACTGAGACATTTCACGGAACCTGAAATCTGCGAGTTAATATAACAACTGCGCAGAAACTCGAACAAAAATAGAGAAATCAAGGAACGTGCGCGTGGTGAGATTAATTGTGTTGCAGAGGAGCATTTGAATGGAATTTATGTGTAATTATTATGCGATAGGGAGTACATAAATATTAGGAATTTGATCAAAACTACAATTTGCGTTTATTTACCATCATTTTTATTATTGAAACGACTCAAGTGCCTGTGATGCACTCGCCCTCACCGACCTGCGGGTTGTAATAGGTAGTATCGGGCAACCTGTGGCGGGAGACGTGCTCCCTATTTGCCGAGAATCACGGCCCAGATAAACATGTACGTACGTACCTAGTTTAACTGCACTCACTATGGCCGCCGGGCTGTTAGTCTGAAAGGACTACATGCGTGAGTGGACGGAAATGAACACATACCTAGCGGGTCTCTCTAGCTCTCTCTCTCTCTCTCTCTCTCTCTCTCTCTCTCTCTCTCTCTCTCTCTCTCTCCCGCCGAAATGTTTACGGTATAAACGTCGTTGTCATAATGTTTTCCGTACCGGTTTGTGAGCGGGTCTCTCTCTCTCTCTCTTTCTCACACGCTCTTTCTCACCCCACTCTGTCTCTATCTTCCTCCCCCCTCTCTCTCTCTCTCTTTCCCCTCTCTCGCGCGCGCTCTCTCTCCCTCTCTCTCTCTCCCCCTCTCTCCCCCCCCCCCCCCCCCCCCTCTCTCTCTCTCCCCCTCCCTCCCTCTCTCCCTCTTTCCCTCTCTCCCTCTCTCT